TATCGTCAGCTAAGAACTCCTAGGCTCTGTTTCTTTTCAGCTTCTCCACAGTATACTGGGTGGCGCCATGTGTTGGACTGCTGCCAAAATTTGGGTAATGGTTGGGACGTTTTGATTTGTCCCTTCTTCACGCGTGATATTTTCGTTATGAACGGAGTGAGTACTCATCTAAAAAGTACAACATTGATATTAGTAACATCTCACATACCACGTTTTATTGAGAATTCTATATATTACATTATTATAGCATTATTAGTAGATATATCATATTATTATATATCACAAACAGACTTTCTTCCTAAGTTCTTATTTTATATCCTCTTCTTCGCTGGAAGACATTCTTTTGGCCATTTCTGTTTTGATGTTCCCTCCATGAAAGGGTCCATATCCCTTTTCGTTTTCCAAGGTAAGTGTAGAACTCTATCTCTGATATTTCCTCCAGATCCGAATCTGGACGATTGACCGTGGGCTCTTCTATTAGTTCTGGTTCTGGAACTTCTTCCATTGGTGGGTTAGGAGGTGGTACAAGTGGAACTCCATTCCTCCTTCTTATCCGTTCATGGCGATCCCACTCAGTTGCTCGTTCCCACTTTGTCCAAACCCTTTCTTGTTCGTACGTTGCCCAGTATGAACCTCCCAGGAGATACCTTCTTTCGGTCCTTGGTTCGGTTTTTGGTGGTTCAACATCATTTGAGCTTATGCTTGAGTCGATCAAATCAAAATCATATATGTTTTCCATCCTTAACATGTTTAACTAAACATTAGCATATTAAATCAATTAGTAATAAAATACCTGTCGGGATCAGTGCTCATGGCGGAGTGGACGAGATGGATAAATCTTCCCTATTACTCATATATATTAGGTCCAAAAACCATTTTAAAACCTTAATGCTCCGATACCAAATTGTAACGCCACAACCCGAATACCCGAGTTTATTCGAATATTCGACTCGCGGTGTTAACGGGTCTAACTTTTTGAATCGGAAAATGGAGCATTAAACAAAACTTATTTATTTATTGATAATATCGGAGTAATATGCTACATGCGGAAGCAATAAAACTTGAAAATATTAAAACTTTATCAAATTGTCATAACATGACTTATTTTAATATTGATAGTAACATTTTGACCCACTCGTCCAATGCTCTGCACATCAGTAAGTTATTATTTTCTGACTGTGTACCTAAAAAAATGGAGCCAACCCGATCAGCAAAAGCTGAGTGGTACCAATTATAACAATAGGTACAAAATATAATAACGTAAACATACACCTTTTCTAAAAATTCTTACAGTCATAATAAAAACACATTTGTTTTATAAAACTGTAGTACTAAGAAAATCAACTTTTCTTTTACTCTTTGTTTAACTAGGATTTCAAGTACTTCGGGTATAAGACGAGTCCATTATCTCTTTCTGGGACTTCAAGTACTTTGGGTACAAGACGAGTCCATTATTACGAGCTCGTACGTACGACAATGGAGGGGTACTGGTTAACCCTTTGAAACTTGTGAACCGTAGTTCACATATCATAAATCATTGATAAATTTTCAAAAAAAAATATATATACACGATAACTTATTATTACATAATCTATATAGTTTCTTCTTTTTTTAAAGGTAAATATTACATAATATTGGAAGAAATAAATAAAACAAGTATGGAGTACCACTTCATGATTTTTTTTAAAAAAAGATTGGTACGTATAGTACCCATGCATACATGCATGTGGTAAGTTAAATATTTAATTCATGTGAAGCTCTTTGATAAAAGAGTACTAATTGAATTTGTAAATTTCTAAACCAAATAAGTTTTGAGTGTGGGGCGTCAATACTTCTTCGTTTCTTTTTTTTTACGTTCAAGATTAAAATTTTTCCCTTCTTAATTTTATTGAAATACATCTTAATAACACACATAAATTTTTTGGACGTAAAAATTTATAGAAAGCATGTCCCGCAATCGAGACCCATTTTTTTGGTTTTTATACTTAACAGTTTTCAGAAATTCATTTCAAACCTTTTTTTTTCGCATACCCTTATATAACCATTATATAATCCTTTTGGGGAATATTTTAGAAAATTTGGACGTAACGCATGTTAAAAATAAAAGTCGGCGGCGTTCCCGATTATTAGGGACGGAAATTAAATCAATTGAATATATAACAAATATAGCATCCTTTTTTTTTAACAAATATAGCATATATTAACGTATTATATTAAGTAACGATTGTTATACGGGCGGCCGTACTCACCTCGATAAGCAAACGACAATTTTTTTTGTGTTTGACAACCTTCTTGTTGTCTTCTTCTAGGAAACTTAGTTGGGCTCCCTCGTTAATATAATAACACCTCTTATTGTTATTATTATTACTCTATTAGGTTTTAGCAAGATATATCAGGGAGTCTTGAATCAGGGTCCCTATTTATACTAATAATTTCACTTAAGTATTAAGTTCTAATGATTAAGAACCTATCTCTTAGTAGAATAGCATACACACGTGGGGAGCTAACCAAACTCTTAGTGTCCTTATGGACACTAATCCGTCCCACGAGTAGCCGACTCATTTTTTAAAGATAATTGTTAACTTAGTTACTCCAAAATTTACTTATCTAAATAATTTCCCTTTTTTTATATATATAATTTAATTGTAATTTCAAGGTTAAAATGTCAATATGAACTTGTTGACGTAATTATCAAAATTTACTACTTTAAATTTCAAATCTAAGATGGTCCAATTGTCAATTAATTATTTTATTTATCGAACTATCTAGGCTAGTTTTTAGGGCGTTACACTACTCGTAAAGGTTGGAGATACTAAGGCCAAGAGGAAATTAAATATGAATTTTGTGGTGGTGGCAATTGCCTCTAACACAAATATTGTATTGGACAAACCAAGGCTTGAAGATCTAGAGTGTGTCATCTTGCCCAGACACCTATGTATCAAGTTCCATATGCCTCAGGGAGTTGGGGTGGCCAGGGGATCTCAAAGGGTGTCCCGGGCCTGGTACCTCAAGGCGACCAAGCGACCTATCAAGTATGACACCCGGGTGGGAGAAGTCACGATGCAATTGCTAAAGGTGGAAAAAAAGTTGCTGGAGACACGGAGGAAATTGACCTACAACCCACTACAAAAAAATCGCGCATTAGGCACGGATGTTTAGGCACGGATAGTGTCGTGCCTTTGCCGATGGAGAGTAAACGCCACATGGCGCAATGTTGTGCAAGGCCTGATTTGGCACTACCTTGTGCGTGCCTGCGGTCCGTACCAAAATCACAACCTTTACGCCGTTTCGTTTCCGTCGGACAACGTTAATTTCTAAAAACTCGCCGGGACGAAGATGTGCCAAATGCCGTGCCTAATTCCAACCACGTATATGCCGTGCCAATTGCCGTGCCTATTGAATGCCAATAATTGTTTTCACTTTTGTAAACAGATGTGCCTATAATGTATGCCAAAAAACTGCTTCTGAAATCCCTATATAAGAACAACATCAGCCTTGTACTCTATTATAAATATGTTATCAGAAAAAATATTATATGCATTATTTTGATGAAATACAAGACCATAAATATATTTGGTGTTCCTGCAAATATTTTTCAGGTGTTTGAATTTGATTATATCCTGCCGGTAAGTATTCTTACTATCAAGTTTAATAAATTAAATACTTATTTATTAATTTAAATATGCATTTGTTTAGATTATATCCATTTGACATTTTAATTATTTCAATGCAACACTTTAATCGTTAATGTTTCTCTATTTATGTATAGATATATATTATAAAATATAATATATCAAAGGTATATTTCAAAATAAGTATATTGAAATGAAGTTTATATGCTAATGTAATAAATTGTTTCCATAATTTATGTTAAAAATAAGAAATCAATTTTTGAACAGAAGAGTAATATATTGTTTCCATAATTTATGGTAAAAATAAGAAATCAATTTTTCCGGACTATTTTTTAATAATAAAATTAGTTGAGTGGCATTTTTTAAAAAATGGTTGTAGGCACGCCTGTTCCGTGCCAACGCTCGTGCCAAAAGTGGAGTGGGTGACATGAAGTGACATTGTGACAGGTGATTTTGTGTCATTAGGTTTTTGGCACACAAATACGCCGTGCCTAAAGTCGTGCCTACTTGAGATCCCTAAACATTTTGAAATTTGAATCCGGATGAATTAGTCATTCCCTGTTCCAAAATTATTTTACTATTGATTGGTATATACTTCTTCCGTCCCTAAATAGATTAAAAAAAATTTCTTCTTTCAATAATTTTTTTTTGTTTACGCGATTTCATAAGTATTTGATAAAATAAAATATTCTTATCACCTCTTGTTTTGTAGAACTTCTGACTTAGTTTTTTAATATGTAATTTTTATATCTTATTGATATACCAATATGTAAATAAAATGATTATGATTTTTAGCATTTTTGTTTCAGGTACTATGTCAATCTCAGCAAGAAGTTGGATGTACAACAAAAATGCTTTGATTAAACGCGGTTTGACACGTGAATTTCTTGATCGCGTAGAAGAATTTATTACTTTTGCATCTGCTCAAACACAATTTCTTGATGGAGAGAAAATTCGATGTCCTTTGTAGCAAATGTAAAAATATGTGCTTTGTCACAGAGGATGATTTGCGTTGGCATTTATACACAGAAGGTTTTGTTGAAAATTATTATACTTGGTATTGCCACGGCGAAGGATTAAGTCCATCATATTTTCACCAGACCGTTGGAAGTTCTCGCATAGTTCCACAACCGGTATCTGCTTGGGGTAATTATTAGAACATGGCTTGGGACCAGCGATTTGTGTATGACGCTCTGGCACCTAATACATTTCTTTCATCGTCTCATACTGATGATGTTCCGAGCTCATCATCTTATCAACATCATGACGATGTGAATACGTTGTCTGATCGTTTTTTGGAGGTGTTAAAAGCAGCTGATGAACCGTTATATACTGATTGCGATTGGAAATCAACGTTAGGTGCCGTGTCTGAAATCTTGAGTATTAAGTCAGACTGGAATCTTCCAGAGGTCTGTATGTCTAGATGGTTGCAAACGGTTGGTGAATGGTTACCAAGGGAACACAAATTGCCTAATGATTTTTACAGTTTAAAGAAGATGATTTCTGAGCTAGGACTCCCAGTTGTAAAAATTGATGCATGTCCGGCTGGTTGCATGTTATTCTGGAAAAATGATGAACAATTAGAGACATGCAAGTTTTGTGGTGAGTCTAGATACAAGTCAATGAGCGAAAGACGAGGGAAGCCTCGCAAGCGCCGTGCTCGATCAAAGCTGATATATCTACCGTTTATTCAGCGTTTACAACGGTTGTACGCAAGGCCGAGAGAAGTGGATTTTGAGGCATTTCAGCAGGAATTTTTCCAACCACCACCAATTGTGGAAGCAACTCAGGTTGGTGTCTTCTTACAAGATCTAAGTGGCGGCGAAATTCAAGTGCAAGAAACACTTAATGACTTGGAAGAAGATGAATGGATTTCCGATGAAGATACCGAAGAAGAAGAAGTTTATGTTGAGGATGATTATGAAAGTGAATGATGTAAATTATACTATTTGATGATTTTATTATCCACAATGTGTTGTTGTTTTTTATTTGATGTATGCTTAATGATGTATGGTTACAATTTTTTTAATCTAGTACTACTCGCAAATAATATAATACTCCCTCCGTTTGCAAAAAGACTTCCCATTTTGATTTAGGGTAAAAATAAGGAAGTGTTAAATTATACTCCCTCCGTCCCCAATTAGATTACAATATTCCCTCTTATTTTTGTCCCAAAAAGAATTATAAAGTGTTTACTTTTACACTAAATAGACTCTTTTACCCTCCTTCCCCTTTATCATTTCAATGTCAAAATCTCACCCACCCACCCATTCCTATACTATTTGGGGGTAATTTTGGGAAAAAATACTGATTTGACTCTTCCTTAATTTTGTCTAAAAGGGAATATTGTAATCTAAAAGGGGACGGAGGTAGTAGTTGATTTCCAATTTTGCCCTGGATGTGATGGGTAAAAGTAAGATGTGATGTATATTTTTAAATATTTAATTTCCATTTTTTATTTCTATACAAATATTCAAATAAGATGAATTAAAAAATCATGAGAAAATACCTTATTTTGAGTAAAATTTAATTCATATAGGGAGGAGTACACATATTTTGGTATTGACAGTAGAATGATTGCAATTTGGCAATGGCACGGCAGATTCGTGCCTAACACCGTGCCTTTACAAATCCCTGACAACCCCACTGGCATCATTCTGACAACCAAATTCAATGATATTAACCTTTGGCACGCCGTGCCCGTGCCTACGTCCGTTCCTACAAGGAACATATATAAACCCCTTATTCTCCTTTGCTCCCCTAGCCGTCCAAAAACCCTCCTCCTCCAACCAACACCATCATCCAAAAAACCCTCCTCCTTCGCCCAAAAATACTCCGGTCGCCGGCAAGCGTGAACCATACTTTTTTCCCAGTACTTCAATCACATGTCTTCTTCTACAAGGAGTACAAGCTTCCGCGGAAGAATTCGGGGGAGAGGAAGCTTCCGCAACACAACTGAGTCTCGAGCCCCTCCAGAGTCCCCATCGACAGGGACTACCCCGCAGTCGGTATTCCAGGCAGGCGGTGAGTCCCAAGGCGAGGGTGAAGGGACGGCCAATGAATCTCAAAATGAGGACCTTCCACGATGCATTACAATTTCAGAACTCAGGGGATTGACGTGTATCACCTGGATGTCCTCAAAATGAGGACCTTCCCCGAAAAAGTGTTGAAGATCGGTAAGGGCCTGGGGGATCAGCTCAAGGCCCAGGTCATTGCGGTACTCGTGAGATTCAGGCGGATTTTTGCTTGAAGCCTGGCGGATATGCCTGGCTTGGATCATAAGATTGACGTGTATCACCTGGATGTCCTGCTAGGGGCAAGTCCCGTAAAGCAGAAGTGAAGAACATTTATCCCATGAAAGAAGAGAGTTTGTGAAGAAGAAAGTGGCGATCCTGCGGAGTATTGGGCAACTTGGAGGACAGTGAGGCGTGACACTAATGGATGACCAGAAGCTGTCGGATTCAATTTAAATATATTTTTGTTGTACTTGTTTAGTTAAATTACAAGGGTGTTGAATAATTTGATTGTGTACTTTGATTAAACCAAGGCTTGAAGATCTAGTGATTCAAGGCTTCCGCAACGTTTGTTTATGTACTCTGATTAAACCATGATTTGATTATAAATAAATATGAAAGAAATTTAAATTCTAAATGTTTTTAAAAATAATGCATGTGAATCACTACAAGAAATTGCCAAAATTGCAACAGAAATCTGCTACGGAACAAATGTTGTCGCGGATCTGCGAGAAATCTGCGACGGGTGCAGGAAAATTTGGTAACATCGAAAATATCTGCGACAGGGGATGAGCTCAAGGCCCAGGTCATTAATAATAATAATAATAATAATAATAATAATAATAATAATAATAATAATAATAATAATAATAATAATAATAGGTAAGAAGAAAAAAGAGTTCAAAAGAAAAAAGAGAAGAAGAAAAAATGGGAGGATGGGGGTTGGATAAGATTCAAAGGTGGAGGAGGAGGAGAGGAGAGAAGAAGAAGAAGAAGATCAAAAATGGGGAAGAAGGAGGAAAAGTTAACGGAGAAGGGAGATTAACGGAGAAAGTGACTGAATGTCACCCAGGAGTATCTTTTTTGATATTTTAAGGTACCCCAGAGTACATTTTAAAAAATAATGGGACCTGATAGTTCTTCTCACAAAATCTAGGATAGCCCGCAGTAATTTTTTCCATGACTATGCTACTTTATCAAATAATAGTTGAAACCGTTTATAGACTAGTATTAATCTCGTGCTTCGCACGGGCTCGTAAACATTCTTAAATTTTAACATTCTAATTTTTATTTTCATTACTCATTTGAAAAAATAATATAGTCATGTCACCTATATATTTTTAAAACTTTTGATGCAATTTTAAATATAAAAGTTTTATTTTTAAATTTTACACTTAATCAAACAAATTAAATTTAAAAAATCTTCGGTCAAATCTCGTAAATTGAGAAGTTAGTTTTAGGACAGATGGTGTATAATAAAATAAATCTTAAGTTTTAAACTATATATTATATAGTTAATAAAGATGCTTATGTAATAGAGCCAATAGAACTCAAAAAAAGATGCATATGTGATAAATTAATGAAATTGATTTTTGGAAGTAATAAAAATATAAATTCTGGATAGTTTAAAAGCTATATGTACTATGTTGATTCTTTATTTAATAAGATTTTATAACTTTTTAAAATAATGATTTTATGATGCATATATTTAAGTGTAGAAAAAGTTTTTTTGTGTAAAATAATGGTTATAAAGTAAAGGGTTTATAAAAATAATGGTTATTTAGTGTTAGAAAGTGATACATGCACCCTCTAGTGTTAGAAACTGATACACACACCATTACTTTTTTAGAAAAATAAAAACCTTTGGCACAATATTTTAATACTTAGAAAAAATATTCCTATAATAGTCGAAGCATAATAAAAATATAAATGAATTAAAAAAAGAGTTTTCTAAATAAATATTTTTCAAAAAAAAACTTATTTACTAATTTTAAAAAAATTATTGTTTTGTTTTCATGATATATGTGACTCTTGAACATTTAAAATCCTATATTTATTACTCTATACATTTATTGAATTTTAATTTTTTTTATTTAGTAATTTATAATATCAATGAGCTTATTATGCGTGACATTTAAATGGTTAACCACACAATATCATATCTGAAATATTGCAAAACTATGAACTACAACTAAATATTGAAAAATGTTACATACTTTTGATGTCTTGTAAATAAAGGCATAAATGTTAGTTTGATGAAAAAATAGAGAATAACAAATGACATTTTTTGAAGAAGAATTAGATTTAATAATGATGCACATGTGTTAAATATTTTATAAATTTTATTTATGGAAAGTAAAAGAGAAGAATAAAATGGTGAGCACTCATAAAAATTTATATAAAGCTTTGTTTTCTACAAATAGTAATGTTTAAACCATATAATAATTAAATTTAAAATAATAATAAAGTTTTTAATGGTGGAATACAAAAGTTAGAAAATGAAGAGATGTTAAAAAAATGATTATATAGTTGTATCTTTTCATATTCTTCACATTGATTCTTATCTCATTTTTTGTAACAATTAAATATTTTTGTATTACACAATGCAATGATGTGGCATGGTAGGTGGCAATAAAAGGTGACATGGTACGACACATGTTGTAATCACAATTAATCCGCTCAACTTTATAAATATATACAGAGTATATGATATGATGTTATACAAACTACAAAGGGTGTAACTAAAATATTACGGAGTAGTTTTCTTGGGCTAAAAGTCCAAAATTCCACATGATCTTTGAAAATGATTAATCAGCTTACTTGGCAATTACGCTTTCTAAAAGAAAGAAATAGATATAAGTTTTTCCTTTTACTCATCGCAATAGAAGAAATTATTTTCTGGTTTGTAGAATCTCTTCTTTAGGGCTTGAACTCTTAACTTTCAATTTCTTTTAGTTTCTTTTAATTTCTTCTAGTTTCTTTTAGTTACTACAAGAATGTAAGTGAAAACAAGACAGAAAAAAGAGACGGATATCTGTCTCAATTATGGAGACGAAGCGCAGGGACGGATTTCCGTCTCTAAAGCTGAGATGTAAAAAAAAGACCAATTTTCGTCTGTTTGCCGGGACGACATTTGTCTCATGAATAGAGACGAGAAATTGAGACGAATGTTTGTCTCAAAATTTAATACAGAATACATTAAAGAGAGACCAATTCTATCTTTCTCTTCATATTTTTACTCAGTATTCTTCGTCCACACATTTCTCTCTCTCTCTCACTTATCTTTTGCAACTTCTTTTTCTCCTTGCTTGGGTTTCTTCCATAGATGTCTTCTTCTTTGAAGCCAGGTATGTTCTTTCAACTATTTCTCTGTATTCAAAATTTCTCTCTTCTTCATCCTTCTCTTTTGTTGATTTTTCTCTTTGAATGTATTCTTTCTTTTTAACCAATAACACCTTTTATAACAGATCTAGGGTTTTTTAGATCTGCCTTTTTTTTGCTTTTCAGATCTACAATTTTTGCAGTAAAGTAAGTTTCTATGGTTTCCCCTACCAAAACTTTTTTCTATTTTCATATGTTAATTTATGGTTTCTATCAATCTTTTTTTTTCAGATCTTGAAGAGGTATATCATAAAATTTCAGATCTTGTGTTCATATTGAATCCTTAAGAGCTCCATGATGAAATTTCGGATCTTCAATGTTGAAGTGTTGTTGCCAAGGGTGTTGCAGAAGCTACTCCCTTTCTCTTTTCCTTCCATGTTTTAATTTCAGTGTTGGGTGTATTTTTTTTTTTACAGAATTATTTGTATAAAGAAGGGACAATTTTTCTTAAAAAATATTGGTGTGATATAATTTACCCAGTATGATTCATGTTTCTTGTGCGTATGGGATAGACCGGATAGGGGAGAGGAGGTATAGATTTATCCATTTTATTTTAATAGTGCAAGGGCATTCTTGGAAGGTGTCATTTTTTTCATCATTGCTTTGTTGTGCTATTTTATTCTTAAATAAGTAAAAAATGTTATGAACCAGCTAATAGAGTATTAATTTTTAAATAAGTTTGTGTCACTAATCCTAGCAAATATAGAATTTTATTTTTTTTAATATTTAGATTTTGAGACTGATTTTGGTCTCTATTCTGAATAATTCCAAGTGATATGCTTGACTGACTTTATACAAATAAGAGACTGAATTTTGTCTCTTTTCAAAGCTGTTTCATTTCCGTCCCAAATGAAAAGAGACGGAATATTTCTGTCCCGAATGAAAAGAGACGAAATAACTGGGACTGATGAATTAGTCTCTATTCTGTCTCTCTTTTGAGACTATTATGAGACTAAATGACCGTCTCTTTTTAACATGCATTCTTGTAGTGACGTTCTTCCAGTTTCTTCCAGTTCTTACAGTTCTTCCGGTTTCTTCCAGTTTCTTCCAACTATTTTAATGTTATTATTATTATTATTATTATTATTATTATTATTATTATTATTATTATTATTATTATTAAAACTGTTATGTTCATAACTATAGTTTATAAATTATTATTTTTATCTCACTATTTTTACGATTCACACTCATTATTTTTTTCTTCAATTTTTTAATATGAAAAAGAAACTTTTTTGTATATTAGTCTACATGATAAAATAGGAAAACATCAATATGTTAAATTATATTAACAAAATTATGGATAAAATAGTGAAATTGAATGTTTTATTAATCTAACTTTATATAAGATCACTCACATTTCCCTTTGATACTTAAAATTTGCTCATTTTTCTAATTTTTATAAAAACATTGTAAGTCAAAATAGTTTAAAGAAAAAGACTAAAATAGGAATAAAACATAATAAATGTAAAAAAAGTTCTATGTCTTTATTCCAAAAATAGGACTTCAATGAAAATAAAATGTCAATAGTGAAACAAAAAATAGGTTTGATTACATTATGTGACATGTCTGATATTTGAAACAAAATCTTGTAATATATAAAGTATAATTACAAATATATTATTTATAATAAATAGTTCATAAATAAATTGAGGTGCAATATAACCACAGAGACTTTTTAAAATTTAATATTTTTATATTTATTCTAACTTTATATTATAATTATTTTTTTGCAAAAGTAGTTTTTTATATTTAAAAAAGGATAAGGACCAAATTAGGAGTAAAACATATGACATGTCTTTAAAATAGAAGTTCAAACATAAACTCCTGTAAATAGGAGTATTTGACTTAATTAATCCAAACATATCCCTAGCTCCTTTCTTGTGATCATGAACGTACATTGCTTTTTTTCCTGATCAAGCATTCTCTCCTCTTTGCTACATACTTATTCCCCTTTAATTTTCTTTTTCTTTTTCCTTTTTTCACTAAAAACAAATGTAAAAAAAAGTTGACGCACAACTCGTCGCGGGTCAGTGTTGCTTTCTCCTCGTCTGCACAATGAGGGGGTGTTTGTTTTTTGCCCAGAAGAGCTTCTGGCTTCTTTTGTCTGCGCCGCACAGACGCGCGCAGATGCTGAGATCTGCAGATTGTTTGTTTTTTGGAAGACATTTCACTCAAACAGGTCTTCCTGACATCTTCTTAGATAAGACATGAACCTATGTCTTCTAAGATCTTCTAACATCTTCTCCATTTTTTTTCTTCTCTTTCTCTTCACCACCACCACCGTCCATCACCACCACCACCGTCCACCACCACCGCCACCGTCGTCCANCCATCACCATCGTCGTCCACCACCACCGCCCCCATCCACCGCCACCACCACCGCCGTCAACGTCCACCACCACCCTTCACCACCACCCTCTACCACCGCCACAATCGTCCATACACCACCACCGTACACCACCATTAATTTATATAGCAGTCTACAGACATTAAAAAACAAACCGTCTTATTCTTGCAGACCGCAGACCTTCGGTCCATCACTTGTCCTGCAGATGTCTACAGTAGTGGTCCGCAGACTGCAGACCTTTTCCTGCAGAAAAAACAAACACCCCCTGAGTCTCCTAGAGCCACATATATTTGTCGCTAAATCACGAAGTCAAGGGGGCCTAGTTCGGAGATACGGCCAATATAATGCTGGACGCCAACACTAGTTGGTGATAGAAGCCAGTGTTGGTCTACACAGAGAAAAAGCTTGTGAGATTGGGCTGCCTTCGTACTAGTGCTAGGTCGAACAAGGAGTGGGCTGCCATCGTTGATTATTCACCGTCTCTGTCGACATCTCTGATCTTTGCCACTTTCACCAATATCACCACTAGAATTTTCCTAGTTGACGTCACAATGCTAGGTTAACTGCCAAATAGAGTGCCAAAAAATAGTGTCAAACATTGTACCACATAATGTCACCAATGACAATATATGATGCCATAGATGTCCATATGTAATGTCATATATGGCAATTTATAGTGTCACACAAAGGAAAATTGGACATGAATCATATAATTGAAGTTTGAAAGCTTTATTAAATTGATATAAACATCAATTATCAGAAAATAAAAAGACAAGTCTTTTTTAGGGGGACAAAAATTTATCTTTGATTTGCTAAAATTATAGCCAAAATATACACAAACGATACATACAACGCTCAACAAATCCAAGTAAAGATCTAATAAACACAAAGATATATGCAAATTGAAAAGGCAAGGCAACGAGGGGGAGGGAGCGATGGCGAAAAGGGGCAACGGCGATGGCAGCAAAGGATTGCCAATGATGGCAACATGGCAGTGGCGGTAGTGCGATGGTGCGAATTGAAGGTGCCTAGGAGAGAGAATGGTGAGGCTATTGGGCACTTGGGGTCAAGAGTATTTGAAAGGAAAGTTTTGAGGATAGCAGGAGACCGGCATTTCTTAATTAATCACTCCTATTTAGGTGAGTTTATGTTTGAGCTCCTATTTTAGGGTTTTCTTTTTAAAAAATAATTATATTTTTTTTGTATAATAATAATAATAATTTATAACAACAAGAATTTAAAATAAATGTTTTTAAAGTTTTTTTAGGTTTTCCAATTTTTTGAAGTTTTTTCCAATTTCTTCCTGTTTTTCCAGTTTCTTCCAGTTTTTTCTAATTTTTTCCAGTTCCTTCCAGTTTCTTCCAACATCCAGCTCTTTTTTTCTAGTCCTAAAAAACAAGCTCTTAGTTCTATGTTTTTTTTTTGTTTGCTTTTTACATCGTGAAAGAGAAAAAAAACAGTCACCATAGTGCCTGCACAATGGATCGATGGGGATTTCATTTATGGCGGTTAGTAATGGGTTTGGTGACTAGGCCTGGACACGGTACCGGTACAGTACCGCTACCGGCAACGGTACCGCTATCGTCACCGCCGGCGTCACGTCTCTCCAGTTCCGGGGAACCGGTACCGGCACCGCCCCCACGGTACCGGTTCCTGTGCCAGTATTTCGGTATCGGTACCGGTTCCGGTACCCTTTGTATTTTTTTTTGCTTTTCCCAGTAGATCGATCAATTTCTTGTTTCCATCTCTCTTTTTCTTGTTCTTCAGCCTTCTGCTCTGCTTCAAGGATGGCCAGGTGCCCAGGTAGAGTTTGAATGTATATGTTTAGGAGTTAGGACGGTATATTATTTTTTTTATTTCATTATTTCCCTTAACAATTACACATTTACAATTTTAAATTTTTAAAAATTTAAAACAAAAAGCAAAAAAAATAGGAGGTTGCCGAAACCGGCCGGTCTGGTACCGGAACCGCCGGTCCGGGTACCGGAACCGGTACCGTCCAGTCCGGTCACGGTACCGGTACCGAGGGGTGGCGGTACCGGAATCGGCGGTTCCGGAACCGGAACCGTACCGTGTCCACCCCTATTGGTGACTCTGAAACCGTTTGGCAAAAGTTATTGAGGATGCTTATGGGCTTTGTTGATGCCGCTCGGTCAAAACAATACTCTCTCCATCCCTTAAAAAACTTTCCAATTTGATTTTTAAAGGATTTTAAGAAAATGTATTTTGGTGTTGACTTCCAAAAATGTCCTTTGATGTGATTGATAAAGTAGGATGTAATGGATAGATTAATAGAGAAAAAGTATAATGTAATAAGTAGGTTAAGAATTAATAGGGGTAAAAATAACTTTTTAATAGGAAAAGAGAATTTTTTTTAGACAAATAAAAAAATAGAGGGAAAGGATTTTGTGATACCGAAGAAGTATATTGCAAGTTATGCTTTGGCGGGCAAAATCAATGACAATGAAGTAGTCTTTAATCTTTAAATTGGACGAAGTCTAATCGTGTTGTTACTCTAGAGACGATGAAGCAGTTAATGATTTGTCTTATTTTTATTCTCTTATGATGATTGTTTAAATCTCTTAGCCTTTTCTGATATACTCCCTCCGTCCGAAAATGTTCTTCCCATTTGACTTTTCACGGTCTCCAATATTGCACTTTGACCATTAATATCTATATTTGCGCAAAGATATATTTTATAAAAATTTGATATTTGAAAACTATGTTTCATTATGAATATATTGATATTAAATTTACGTTATAATACAATGTGTTTTTTCTAGAAATCGTAGTCAAAGTTAATAAACTTTGACCAAGAAATGTCAAATGTGAAGAACATTTCCGGACGGAGGGAGTAGATTTTAGAGTGCGCGTAACTAAAATTAATTTATTTGACTTTTTTCACTCTTAATATTAAATTTTTAGACCTAATGGGAAGGGAAAATTACTGTAGATAGAAGTGAAACAAAGACTTTTACGCAAATAGGACCAATTATTTTTTAAACAAATACATGAGCTACATCTAGAGAAATACAGAGGACACATGGGCTGGTCAAAAAATCTCTGGTGATTATTGATGTCAATGCTGGACGAGAACCCTTCAGAACGTCCCTTTGCAGACTATTCTTGATGCATTAAAAGCAAAGGGAGATTATTAGGCTTGCAACAAGTTCCTTCCATCTTCTTCAACTTAGAAAGCATATTTGTGTTGCTTAGCTGACAATAGGAGTAATATAATACAGAGGACACACAGGGGCTGGTAAAAAAATCTCTGGTCATTATTGATGTCAATGCTGGAAGAGAACCCTTCAGAACGTCCCTTTGCAGAAACATTCTTGATGCATTGGAAGCAAAAGGAGATTATTAGGCTAGCAACAAGTTCCTTCCATCTTCTTCTTCAACTTAGAAAGCATATTTGTGTTGCTTAGCTGACAATAGGAGTAATATAATAAGAGTTCATGTTGAAATATGATTTATAAGAGTTGAATTCAACAGCTCTTACCAGCAAAATAGTGAGCAAGATAAACATCAACCCATGAGTGAAACTAAGCAAGCTCAGAAAGCAAAGGGATTAAGATCACTTACAAATAATATGGCTCATGATGTCTTGTCAAACCTTTCAAATTCACAAAACATTGTCTGTAAAGCCATAAAGTACGCTGATCAAGTGCACGCGACTTAAATTCTTTTATTTTCCAAAGACCTCTCAGTTCACAAGCACTATAATCATAAGCAATGATATTCTTATGCGTCCCTATAAAAATGATATTGGCTTCCGGGTGTAGAGCATAAGGCATGAAAGTTGATATTCCCTGGTGCTTCAACATGTTACCAACCTTTGGGTTAGCAACCACATCTTGTATGCATATTGTTAGCATACAAATCCACCTTGCAGTCTCAAAACAACCCTCAAGCATCCAGAAAAAGATATTACTGTGGTCATGATTAGAATGATAGAGATGTCCTCTCGACTCTCCAATAAATCCCAAAAGTTCCATGGTGTCCTTTCTCGGGAGGTCAATGGCACTGGCATTCATGCGGTCAATGCCAAGACATACGAGATGCTTTGATTCAGATAAATAGCATAACACGCCATTCGAGTACACAGCGTGTTCATACCATCTATGCATGGCTGCGGGATGTTCAAAAGTAACTTCATGTATATCCCATCTACCACTGTCTGATGAGAAGACATAAAATGTGATAGGAGACCCTTCACAATGAAAGCAAACTAACTTAAAGTGGATAGACCTGATAAGGTCAAAAGCCAGTGAACTATATTGCATGTTTCGACAACCATCAGGACAAGGAGGTATTGTCACACACTGATTGACTGCCGGATTGCAAACAAAAAAGTGCAGGATACGACTATCATTAAACAAAAGCATACCGTTGCAATAACTAAGAAAATACGGTATGTGAGGAAAAGATGGTATAAGTTGATAGCATGTGTCATCAGGTCTTAATTCTGGTATCCTTGGTGGCCGATTGTATCTGAAGCTCAATAATGGTTCAGACTTAGAATTATAAAGAAACCCATAAATGTCAGAAGAAAGGTACAGTCTTGGAATGCAAACATTGCTAATCAAGTGATTCCATGTCATGCAAACTGCTTTGTATCTTGAAACTTGCTTTTGTGATATTCGACACAGGATTTCAACCCACATATCTTCAGGTAATTTTGACCAATCGCGGAAGGATTTACTCCAGTGCTGAGAACATGGAATCTGAACGGTACTCTGTTCTTCTTTCCTTTGATTGTGATATGATTCAATCTGTGATACAAAGAAGAAAAAGAAGCATCAGTGAAAGCAAAAAGCAGTCTCTTGTTTTTCCTATAAATCAAATTAAAAATTAGAACTTGATGGGTCCAAAGCATATGGTTCATTCATACGATCCAGACTTTGGCATGAACCTCTAAAGTTAATGATTCATATAAGTTAGTGGAGAATTGATAAAGGAACCATTAAAAAAATAAAAATCATGATAAATCATGTTCTGGGTGCAGATTAACAATCAGAACTTTGATAGTCCCCGTTCTTCGTTTATTTGGATAAAAGTCGAATCTTTGCAATAGAAAAATAGAAATAGTTAGCATTGGCAATATTACTTGAACGGAAGAAATAAGCCTAAATTTCAAAGAGGCTTTACCTTCGGAAGTAATTTAAACTCTATATAAATCATACGAACACGATGCTCGGTAAAACGCCCTATCCTTTCTTCCTTTTCTAGAGAAACGATTTGCGAATGAAATTCCATCTTCCCAAAGATTCTTTTTTTTTCCTTTCATCAGGCGGTAGAGAACGAAGAGGAGAGGTTGGCGGCTGCTAGGGTTAAGAAGGAACACACAAGAGAATAAAAATATTACTCTCTCTCCTAAAATTAACTTCTTATCTGATTTTTCACGGTCTCCAATGCGATACTTTAACCACTAATATATTTTATAAAAATTATTACCTCCGTCCCATAGTATTTGTCCACTTTTATTTTTACGTACCATCCAATATACTTCTTTAATCCATTTTATCTTGTAATTTGTATATTAAAAAATTATAGAAATTATATATTAATAATCTATATGTTAAGAGAAATCAAACAAGATCACACATGACTATATTTAGGCTTACACATTGAGAGAATTTGATGAGTCAAAGTGCTTAGATGAATAGTTCCAAAAGTCAAAACTGGACGAATACTCCGGGACGGAGGGAGTATATATTTCAAAACTATGTTTCAAAATGAATCTATTGCTAATAAATTTATATGAAAATTCAATGTATTTTTTCCGTAATATAAGGTCAAAGTTTAAAAAGTTTGACTACAAAAGTCAAATTGGAAAGTTAATTTTAGGACGGTGGGAGTACTAACCTACTCTCTCTGTCTTAAAACTATCTCCCCGTTCGTGTTTACGAGGTTTGGCCGAATTTATTTTCAATTCAATTTATTTAATTGTAGTTGCAAAAATAAAAAACAAAATTTATATATTTAAAAAGTACATCAAAAGTTCTACAAAACAAGTGGTGACACGACTATTTTTTATCAAATAACTAACGAATATAGGTAAAGAAAGTAATTTTAGTTTGACCATGTGAATAGTACGGATGAAGCAATTTACTTTCATTCATGCATGCCTTCAATAGCCAAACACAAGAGTATAAAAAAAGAATGAAAGTAACCCTAACCCAGTTGGTTCAAAAAAAGCATCGAGGTAGAGAAACAAAAAGAAACCCTCGAAAGAGCTTATAATTTGCTCACCTAAAGAAAATCTAAAATACAATAATAAATAAAGTATTTAAAAATTTAAACATAATTCGGAAGCTGGCCCGATTGTTTAGACACGCGGCCCGAATGTCTTGGTTTCCGTCGTGTTCTTGGGCTCTCGGCTCGCTCCAATATCTGGCCCCCCCTGTTGGGCCGTATCATCTACCTCGCCAACCAAAACGTCCTTGTCATCAAGGACCAAATTCAGGTACTTCTCCTTCAAATATGTAATTGGTTCCCATGTAGCATCGGTGAGACTGCCATCAGACCACACCACTAGCCAGTGCTCCTACAAAGTACCTCAAACAATTATTGTCGGTGCTCCCACCCCCCGCTGCGGAATTGATAGCGGCGCTCCCTCGCGAAACTCAGACGGAAAAGAGGAAACTATCGGGGTAGAATTGTTCATGATGTCTGGCCGCAGTAAGGAAACATGGAAGACGTCGTGTATCTTGGATCCCTCGAGCAATTGCAACTAGTACGCCACCTCACCGATCCGCGCAACAACCGGGAGCGGACCATAGTACCGCCTGGACAATTTGACGGACTTAGGTTTGGAAACGGAAAACTGACAGTGGGGTTGTAACTTGAGAATCACCACATCCCCGACTTGAAATTCCATGTGGCGGCGACGAGTATTAGCACTAGCATCCATATGTTGCTGCATTACCCGTAAATTATGTTTGAGGTGGCGTAAGATCTCCCCCTCTCCGTCAAATGGGAATCCACCGCCTGCACCTTGCTTGTCCCCACTGTGTATGGAGCAAGGGTCGGAGGCTCACGAGCATAAAGGGCACGAAACGGTGTCATCATGGCATACGACCGTATAAATTGGCGATAATACCCCGTCAAGCCAAAAAAGCCACGGAGATGCTTGGTCGTCTTGGGTTTCGGCCAATTTGCCATTGCTTCCAATTTAGTAGGATCAGCCCGCAACTCTCCATTGGCGACTAGATGACCCAAATATGCCACCGTGTCGCGACAAAACGTGCACTTTTCCAATTTGATAAAGAAATTATGTGTGGCCAGAATATCCAATGTCACATGGAGATGTGATCCGTGTAACTCTAATGAAGGACTGTAGATGAGAATGTCGTCGAAGAAAACAATCACAAAACACCGAGGTAAGATGCAAAAATATGGTTCATCGCCTCCTGAAAAGTGGATGGCGCATTCGTTAACCCAAAAGGCATAACTAAAAATTCAAAGTGGCCATCATGGGACGAAGGGCTATCTTATAGATGTCGTCAGTGTGCATCCGAATCTGATGATAGCCCGAACGGAGGTCGAGCTTAGTAAAAACACATGCATGGCCTAACTCGTCAAAAAGCTCATCCGCTGTAGGAATAGGAAACTTGTCCGCAATGGTGATCGCATTAAGCCCCCGATAGTCAACACAAAATCGGAAGGAGCCGTCCTTCTATTTGACAAGCAAAATTAGAGACGATAAAGGGCTCAGACTATGCTGGATAAGGCCTTGCGCCAACATCTCTTGGACTTGCTTCTCGATTTCAGCCTTTTGGTAGTAAGGATATCAATAGGGCCTGACATTAACGGGTTTCCCATTTGGAATGATGTGGATGTGATGGTCCCAAGGCTGAGGCGGGGGGTATGTTGGTGGGTTGCTGGAACACTGTGCGATGGTCGTCGAGGATCACACGAATGGCTAACGAGAGGTCGGGTGGAAAATGCCCGGACAAAGCTCGTTTGGAGTTAGAGGATATGGACCGAAACTCTATTTCATACCCAGTAGAGATCTCCTTCGAGTGAGCCAACACGTGCATGGAATTGTAAGAAATGCGACGGTTATTTGGTCCATCTCCTCAAAACGTAATAAGGCGATCTCCTACCCAAAACTCCATTGTAAGGGCCGTATAGTTGTGGCTGATATTTCCCAAGTCTTGCAATCATTGTATACCCAGAACAATGTTCGGGCCGTGAATCCGTGATAAGTCGGGTTTGGGTTAGTTTTTTTATTCTTTTTTTAAACATTTTTAATAATTTTAGAGTTTTATTTTTAGTTGTTTAGATTAGTTTTATTTTAATTTTCATTTTTACTATCTTTTAATTTTTCTTTCAAAAATAAAAGTTTTTAATCAATGTTTTTCATTGTATTAATTTTATTTTATTTTTCCTAACCCAAGTTATCAGATATCTTATTTTTGGATAAAAGTGTAGCAAAAAGGCCAATTTGAAGTTCAAATTTGGAAAAAAGAGGTTGAGTTTGGGCTGGAGCCCAAACTCATCATAATAAAAAAAAAAAAGCCCACCACTCCTTTATTCTTATTCAATGTATGAAAGAAAAAAAGGGGATCTGTGACTTCCTCTTCTAACACCAGAACGGATATACACGCTCCAACGTCTCTCCTTGTTCTACTTTCTACACACTCAAATTAACAACGATAAACAATCCTCCGGCTATAAAACAGTTGAACAAAGGGGGAACAACGAAGGGAGGAACGACGGGAGAGAGTTGCGGCTTAGGCCGCGGTGGTGGGCGGTGGAGGAGGCGACAACCACCGGCGGCGACGGTAGCGGCTGCAACTCCGGTCGATGATGGGAGGCAATCTCCAGCTCCGGTCATAGTTCCTTCAAACTCCAATATCTTCAATTTCATCATCTTCTTCAACAAATTGGTAACCCTTTTTTTCCAATTTCTTCCCAATTCTTTGTGAAGTGTTAATTTTTATTTCAAATTTTACATTTTTGTGTGCTTGTGTTCTAATTATTCTGAAAATTACAAAAAATATGGTTGGTGTTTTTTGGGTTTATGTTTTTTGAATGTTTATATTAAATCCCGTATGAATGAAAATTGATTCATATTAGTTTTCTTCAATTTTTGTGCAAATTGTTGTTGAATTGGTTGAATCGCACGATTTGATTTCATAAGTAGGTTGGTATGTGGAATTAAGTTTTGTTTGAAGCTATTTTAGCTCCATATTATAGTTAAATGATTTCCAAATTCATACATGATTCTTCGTTGTGCTATGTGTTTTGTAAAATTTTAAGGATTTTGGACTTCTTAGCCCCATAAGTTGGACATTTTCCTTAAGATTCGATATAGAGTGATTGTTATGTCATTGTTTGTTAATTTTCATAATATTTAAGGTTGTTTAAGAACAAAAACAATTTTTAAGTTTTTAAAAATATGTAATGTTCTTTTATGTGAATAGACTAAAATTCTTATGCTTAAGTTGTTCAAGGAGACCTGCAAAATATTTTCATCATTAGGCGTTAAATAAGAAGAGATTGACAAGCCTTCTCCATTACGTGGAGTGATGATGAAATTGAAGACGATCAAGGATGTGGTGAGAGAAACTGTGCATTCACTTTACAATCAGCATCAGATGATCTAGCTGAACAGCACATGGATCTTCAACAGAAGTGGATAGAACTGCTCATGGTCAACAGAAAGAATATAGCAGAAAAAAATAAATTGGCACTAGATCTGAAGGTCTTGAAGAAGAATCTAGAGGAGGCTGAAACTGATATTACCAATCTACGGTTTGAGTTGTAGAAGCTCAAAGACTATGTTAAGTGGATGAAGATTGCATGAGCAGATGTACTGGATGCACAGGATATGATTTTCAAAGCACCCGATGACAGACAAGGAATTGGATGCACTATTGAAAACAAAGTAGACAGCCCAGGATATGCATGGTTAAGCAAAAAACAAAACTCAGTGTCCCTATCAACTGCAGAAGCCGAATACTTCGCAGCAGGTAGTTGTTGTGCACAGTTATTATGGATGAAGTCTGTATTAATAAACTACGGGATATAACAGAATACAATACCACTATATTGTGACAACACAAGCGCCATTTGTATGTCCAAAAATCCAGTGCTACATTCCCACACGAAACACATTGATATTAAACATCATTTCATACGGGAATTAGTTGAGGATAAAATTATTAATCAAGAACATGCTGACACAAAAGAGCAACTGGCAGACATCTTTACTAAGGCATTGGACAGAAATAGATTTAAAACACTCAGATGCAAATTAGGTCTGTGTGCACCCTACTAACAGTGTTACATAGTAATTTTTGAACATAAATTGTCAGCTTATGTATTCAAATTCTTTTTTATCCGTTGAAATATTCATAACTGACACAAGAA